ACAAACCGCAAGGGGCTACAGGGCGACAACAAAGGGAGCGAGAGAAGGAGGCAGGTGTCGTGCGACCGAGAAGCGAAAACCGACAGCGACCGCGACATGAACCAGCGGAAGGCGCCTCGCACATATCCACCATAGCCGCCACCTCATCGCCAGCGAGTAGTCGAGGAGCGGCAGCAAGAAGTGCGCATCCGGCGCGGCCATGCTCATCATATGAGCCACACATGCTAGCCCTAGAGCTCCCGGAGCTGCACCTCGCAGCCCCAACGGCCGAACACCACCTGCACACGACGCGTCCAGCGACACCGAATCCCTCTACGGGAGGCGCTTGAAAATTGTCCTCCCGGAAGACGCCGGGCCAGGAGCTGCGGCGAAGGCGAGACAGCCGTCGTGTGACAGAGTGAGTGCCGTCATGCCACAACATGCGGACGGGGCACTGGCCTCCTCGCCTCATCTACGAAGGGGCGCCGACGGCCTGGCAGGGTTGAGGTCGACTCAACGGGCGCAAGCTGGAACAGCCGGCAAGTTGGAGGGCACCACCAGAATGAGAGATCGATAAGCGACGGAGATCGGGAAGGACGTACAGGTGTGCCCGCAGCCGCCGTGGCCGAACAACGACGCGGACGCCGGCCAACAGTTGATGGTGTACGCCATCATCATTTACCCGGCGGCTAGAAGAGGATGTACGGTATATAGGAAGACCACACCCAGCAAGGAAAACAGAAACCGGGCTGCCTCGCCGGCAGCGTCGAGGCACAACATGGGGCATGCATGGATGCGATGCCTCCCGAGCTGCCGTCAAGCCCATGGGTCGCCGCACGCTGCCTTCACTTTGCCGCCTGGAGACGTAGAATCGAGGCGTCGAGCGGCCCCGAAGTTGTTGTCCAGCCTGATGCGGCACATAACACACAAGGCTGGGTGCACCCAAAATTACAGCAAGGGAAGCCATCTATTTATAGGCTCAGTAAACGGCAAGATCTCCAGAAACCACGAGAAGAGCGGCACTAATCTAGCGAACTCCCGAACCAACACTGTGAAGCGGCACCGCTCAAAACACCCACTGAGACTGACCAACAGCGGCATGCAACGACAGCGACTGACCAACAGGCAACAGGGGCAGAGATCGACAGCGATGGGACAAACACAACCAATGACCAATCAAAAACCCGAAGAAGCTTCAAGGCAACCTGATCGACAGCGACTGACCGCACCAGGGGACAAATTTCACCGTACAACCTGCCGTACAAACAACATAAAATGCTAAACCAACCAACACAACCATGACGCACGTTCAAAAAATTTCAAACGAAAACCTGGGCACACCACTCATTTCTACACAGCCATATACCAAAATAATACCACGCGCCATAACCACAACTCACTATGTGTCACTTTCATCCAAGTGGTTTAATCTCATGGCAAAAACCTTGCCTGGAATAGAGGCTTGGGTATACATATAGAAAATGCAGTTACTGTACAAGCAAATGGACCCATGCCAAGCAACAACTCAAGTTTACCTTCTAGGAGCCAAGTACAGATATCATGTATAGAACTATTCAACTATGGCTGCTTCTTTGAGAAACTGATACTTTGTAGGGAGCAATCTTATGTGTTCTCTGTATTTCCCTTTCCCTGAAAAGAGAGAGAGACAGCAGCGAAACAGTTTTAGCTTCAAATGAGTAGCTCTTCGCATCAACATTAGACATATAATATCCAGCCTCGACTATCTATCCTTTTTTTCAGTAACCGTCTGATAATAAGATTTAACATCCAGGAGTTGGCAGTACAGCCGCTCCTCTCCATCGATAAAAAGAGTGTCAGCTTCTTCCACTGACCCTTCTTTTTTTCCAGAAGTTTATTCCTACACTTACATGTGAGATCTTTCAATATTGCTCTATGAAATAATTAGCAAATTATTGTTCGTAAAATGTGTAATGTTTTTTTGGAGATCTTTTAATGCGTCCGATTGTTGCAAGCATTTTACACTAATTTTAAATTGCCATATGTAGATAACTGTATCAGTCAGTCTGTTTGTTCAGAGCAAATATGATTCAGGTCCAAGACAAACATTTTTGTGGAGTATTTCTCAAAGAATGGTTCTGCTTCAGAAATTAGTACAAGACCTTCACTGCATAGTGAGTAATGAAAAATTATGAGGAAGAAGAGGAAAGAACATGCTGAACTTGAGCTCATGTAACAGAAAATAAACTAGACAATGAATATAAAAAGATAATCGGAACCGGCAGTTCTATGGGAAGAAGCAAAACACTGTTCTGTAGTACCAAAATGTTACACCATCGGCTCTTCAAGAAGGAACAGAGGAGAAAACCATGGCGAGCTCACCAAAATCCATCAGACTGTCACAAAAAAATGAGATGAGATGAATTAACCAATCAACAATGTTAGGGCACACTTTTGTTGGATTAAGGGGATAAGATAATGACCCAGATTTCATTAGCAAAATAGTACTCTTTCGTACCAAAATATAAGACGTTTTCTAGGCTAGTTTAGCCTACAAAACATCTTATATTTTGATACGGATGTTGTACGTACTACCAAAGTCAAAAGGAAATGAATAGAAAATTAAAGCATAGCCCAGATTGCACACAAAGTGCAGACACAACTGACTTTATCAGCTCTGTCCCATGGCAAAGATGTTCCAAATACATCAGCCATATATCCTTATTGTAGTCGTACCGCTGTGATATAGAGTATGGAACCAAAAATAACAGGCTGACAGTCAATGAGAATTACCGGCAGAACCATATTAACTCTGAACATTGATCTGCACCAGTTTGTGCAACAACACATAGTATGCTTTTTAATAAAAAAAACTCTGAAGCCATCAACATTTCGATTCCCGGCGATATCACCAGCACGATCTAATTAAGCCAAGTTACGAGGTTCAACTCAACATGGTGCTGCATCGATAAAAAAATTTGGAGGCAGACCCTAAACCAAGGCTGTACACCTCATAATCCATGCAAGCATATACATACAAAAGGCTAACGTACAGTCTGCTACAGCTCAACTTGTACATGGAAAGAAGACTAGGATCTGCAAAAATAACAACACAAGCATATATGATTCAGACTTTTGCATGCTGCCTCTTCACACATCATCCAAAGTAAATCATCAAAGCCACCACAACAGTCAACAAAACATCTCTCTAGTACCATGTTATGATTAACTAACCTCAATCTGGCTTTGGCAGCGTAGATCTCAAGCCGGTCAAACTCCGGTTCCTGCTCAGCTTCTTCAAATACCTTCTTGAAACAGACACAAGGGCACACAGGCGCTGACAAGGGGCACACTGGCAGAGAAATGAATGCATCTTCAGTGGAGCCACCTGAAACCGCCAGGGACTGGTTGACTCGTTTCCATGTGAGGCCAAGCCATGGATACTGGCAGGAGGTGAACGGCTCGGCCACCTGTCACTCTCCCATAGGTGTTTGGCTAGCATACTGCACATCTTCAGTTTGTTGCTGCTTCTTCTGTTTAAGTTTGGATTCAGCTTTGTTTTGGCAGGCCTAGGTCTGTCTTCTCCCATAGGTGTTTGGCTAGCATACTGCACATCTTCTGTTTAAGTTTGGATTCAGCTTTGTTTGTTCTGAGCTTCTTCTATAGTGAATTTCTTCTTACATATAGTAAATGCATTTGTTGTACAAGCAGAAGGATACTTTAGCAGGCCTAGGCAAGCAACAAACTAAAGTTTACCATGTATCAAACTAAACTGTGGCTGCTTCTTCACGAAACCGATACTTTGTAGGGAGCAATCCTATGTGTTCTCTATATTTCCCTTTCCCTGAAAAGAGAGAGATAAGCAGCGAAACGGTTTCAGCTTCAAGTGAGTAGCTCTTTGCATCAACTTTAGACATATAATTCCCAGCCTTGACTAGCTCTCCTTTTTCCAGTAACATTCTGACAATAAGATTTAACATATAAGAGTCAGCAGTACAGCCGCTCTTCTCCATTGATAAAAAGAGATCGTCAGCTTCTTCCACTGACCCTTCTTTTATAAGATTTTTCATCATTATGGTGTAGGTAAAGACATTAGCTACCAAACCATTGGCTGATACTGCAGCAAACAAATCCTTGGCTTCTTGGTTTCGCTGAACCCTGTAGAAGGCATCAATCATTATATTGACAATTATAATATTGAATTTCACATCCATTGTGCTTAATTTCTGGAATAGCGTGATTGCTTCGCCGCTACAATTATTTCTACAAAGTCCACCAAGAACTATCGAATATGTATCAATGCACACACTTACTCCAGATTCAACCATCTCATCAAACTTTTCCTTTGCAGCAACAGTTCGTCCAGCCAGAAATAATCCATCCAGTATGACGTTGTAATTAAAAGTTGTAGGTTTAAGTCCCTTGCGCAACATTTCTTTAAACAGAATCAGCCCGTCATCAATCCTTCTGTTTTTGCAATAGCCATTAATAAGAATACCCTACGTAATATTAGAAGGTTCCAAACCATATGACACCATATCATCAAATATTTTTGATGCATCCTCCATCTTGGAGACTAGGCAGTATCCATCGATCAGTAAACTAAATATGAGAACATCAGGCCTCATACCTATGTGCACTATCAAGTCAAGGATATCCCGTGCTTCTGTTACCCTTCCTTCTGTGCATAGGTTCTGCATTATTGAATGGAAGAAGTTAATATCAGGAGGACGCATACCTTTGTTCCTCATTTCAGTAACCAATTCCTTTGCTTTCACGAAATCCCCATGTGTACAAAAACTCTGGATTAGGGAATGATAAACAACTGCATTCGGTCGTACTCCCATATCAACCATCTGGTTAAATTTGTCCATAGCAATGTCCAAGCTACCCATTTTGCAAAATGCATGTATTACAGTTGAATAGGTGACTACATCTGGACTCACTCCCTGTTTCCGCATTCCTTTAAAGATAAGCATAGCCTCATCCATCATGCCAGATTTAGCATATGCATTAATCAGTATGTTCAAAGTGTGACAGTTAGGCCGAATACCATCTCTAGTCATTGAATTGAAGAGATTAATCATATCAACTAAGCATCCTTCAGTGGCATACCCATGAAGGAGAATAGCATATGAAACGTTGTTAGGTTTCAGGCCCTTCATAGCCATGGTCTCAAAAATTCCTGCAGCTTCTTTGCTTCTTCCATGTTTGCAAAGAAAGGTCATAAACATGTTGTAAGTATGCACATCTGGTGTAACCCTCCGACTTGTCATCTCTTTGAATACCCTAACTGCCTCCTTCCAATGGCCTGAAGAGGAATATCCATGGATGAGGCTATTATATGTGACATTATTAGGTACGACACCATCATCAACCATCTGACGAAGGAAATACTCTGCCTTGTCCATTGCTCTGGCCTTGCACAGCGCATCAATAACCGAGCTATATGTCACCACATCAGGCATAACGCCCTGCTGCGCCATTTCATGAAATAGATTGCATGCCTTGCCTACTTGACCTTCCTTAAAGAAGCCATGGATGACGGTGTTATACGCCACTACGCCGGGGGTGCAGCCCAGCCCAGGCATCCTGTGAAGCAGCACGTCCAGAGCCTCATCTGAGCGCTTTGCATGGCAGAGTCCCTTGAGGAGGGTGCTGAAAACGACTCGGTCTGCCTCCAGGCCCGTCTTGAGGAGACGGCCGAAGAAGGCGATCACCAGATCCAGGCGGCGCGCACGGCAGCAGCAGTCCATGAGGACGCCATAGGTGAAGACATTTGGCTGCGCCACCCGTCGTCCGGCGCCTCGGGACAAACGGCCGAAGAGGGCGACGGCTAGGGCGGGGCCGTCGCTGCAGGATGCGGACGTGGGCGCGCGGGCGAGGGTAGCTAGAAAGTTATTCAAGGAGCGCTCCTGGACAGGATTGCCATGCCGCAGCAATTCGTCGAACAGGTGGTGTGCGTCCTCCGTAGTGAGCGTGCCAAATACCGCCCGCTCCGTGCCTGTGGCGAAGGCGGCGTGGGGATCCCAGATGCGTGAGGGATGAGAGGTGGAGGAGGAGTGGCGTCCGCCGAGTCGGAGGCGGAGGCGGGGTGGCGACATTGGCGTGCTGGAGGAGAAGCGAGGCATGGCCTTGGTGTGTACTGAGCAAGACGAGTGGAGTGGGAGACGACGGGGCTAGTGCTTTTCCAAGTTGTACAAATGTGCTAGGTGGCAACATTCAGTTATCGTACCCTCCGTTCCTAAATATAAGGTGTATTAGTTTTTCAAAAGGTCAATTGTTGTCTATGTTTGACCAACTTCACAACAAAATATATAAAGATTTATAATACTAAATATATAAAATGTAAAAATATAGTTCATGATGAATCTAGTGATAATGATTTGGTATTCTAGATATTGATATTTTTGTCTATAAACTTGGTCAAACTTAGATAAGTTTGATTTTTTGGAAAAATAATACACCTTATATTGAGGAACGGAGGGAGTAGCATTTTTTGCAGGTAAATTTAAGTTATGGTCTCATATGGATATATTCATATCACATAATTTTTCACAATATAACTTTATTCAGACCAAAAATATAAATTCAGTTGCAAGCCGTAGAAATGTACTGCAAAGCCATAAAAATATATTTTTAAGTATTCTCACACAAAGAAGATTTTTTAAGATTTAGTTCTTTGAGCATCTAGGTAGTGAATTTTGCGCCGTGAAACCCTTCCCATGTTGTCCCAAATCTAAAGGTTGAAAGTCTACTATTAAAGATGACGTATCATACGAAAATCCTATAAAATTCCTCCAAACCATAGGTGGCCTAAAAGTGAGATCCTTTGAAATTTGACAGCTACTACATTTGAGGAGGGAGTGAAGATTTTCTGCTCCTGGGCTATATGGAGTCCTAAATTTTGCAAAATAAAAAGCAAACCTTTTAAGTTCTAAAAATTACAAAAAATACACATATACAGAGGGATGTATAGTTCATTTATGTCAATTTTCATAATGAAATGTGTTTTATGTGAGATACAACCAAAAATCATGGACTTCTATAGTGAATTTGAGCCTGTAATGTGCTAGAAATTGATGATATTTTTATAGCACATATCGACATACTCCCTCCTTCCATCTATAAAGGGCCTAATGCATTTTTCAAAACCGCATTTGACTATTGATAAGATTAATAGTACATTAGATATATAATGTGAAAATTATATTATTAGAAGCTCCTTTCACATACGAATTTGACGATATACTTTATGTAACTTGCATGTCATATATTATTGTTCTAATATTTGGTCAAAGTTAGCCTTGAAAAATGCATTAGGCCCTATATAGATCAAAGGAGGGAGTATATTTTGTCATGAAACTTTTATTAACATGCAGTATGCATCCTATCCCGAAAAAAAGAATACATCCCTATGTACATGTGTAATTTTTTAAAAACCTTTTCGGTACAAATTTGTTTTTATACTTTTTCAAAGTCATGATTTTTCTACACGTGCTAGAAATTCAGGATGAAAATGTGTGTACGTCCCTATGAACCTTTTTTGAATCATACATGCGCTAGAATTCTATGATTTTTTACGTAGCTCACACCAAAACTATTTAATTGTATAACTTACCAAAATGTAAAACATTAAGTTATATATCCCTGTGCACAATTTTTAAAATAAATATTCAAAACACGCGCGCGCGCGCAGGATAACACTATTCTAATCATGGGATTAGAGTAACTATTTGGATCACATCGCCCTATATAGGCCCACCTTGGATCCTCCTGAACTCCCGAGAAACCCATCCGACCGGTACAAAGAAAGAAAAAGCTCACCCCACCCCACCCGTTTCCTCCGACCCCCTTCCGTAACCACCCCGATCCCACCTGCCCTCTCCTCCACACTGCATCGCGCCGCCGCCTGATACGTCCATTTTGCATCATGTTTTCCTACGGTTATTTATGTTGTTTTATTGTATAATAATGCTTTTTGGAGTAATTCCAGTGTCCTTTCTCTCATAATATGCAAGGTATGCACAAAGGGGGAGAATTCTGGCAGCTAGAAATCTGGACCTAAAAAAGCTACGTCAAGCTACCTATTCTGCACAACTCCAAATGAGCTGAAACTTCCCGAGGATTTTTATGAAATATTTAAGAATTATTGGAGCAAATAAGTACCAGAGGGGGCCACCAGGTGGGCACAACTCACCTGGGCACGCCAGGAGGCCCAGACGCGCCCTGGTGGGTGCTTCCCTCCTCGGCCCACCTCCGGTGCCCATCTTCTGATATATAAGTCATTTTTACCTAGAAAAAATAATGAGGGGACATTCGGGACGAAGCGTCGCCGCCTCGAGGCAGAACTTGGGCAGGAGCACTTTTGCCCTCCAACGGAGAGATTCTGCCAGGGGAACTTCCCTCCCGGAGGGGGAAATCATCGTCATCATCATCACCAACAACTCTCCCATCTTCGGGAGGGCTATATTCATCAACATCTTCAACAACACCAAATCCTCTCAAACCCTAATTCATCTCTTGTGTTCAATCTTTGTATCAAAACTATAGATTGGTGCTTGTGGGTGACTAGTAGTGTTGATTACATCTTGTAGTTGATTACTATATGGTTTATTTGGTGGAAGATTATATGTTCAGATCCATTATGCTATTTAATACCCCTCTGATCTTGAGCATGATTATCATTTGTGAGTAGTTACTTTTGTTCTTGAGGTCACGGGAGAAATCATGTTGCAAGTAATCATGTGAACTTGATATGTGTTCGATATTTGATGATATGTATGTCGCCATTCTCTTAGTGGTGTCATGTGAACGTCGACTACATGACACATCAGCATATTTGGGCCTAAGGGAATGCATTATGGAGTAGTTATTAGATGGTGGGTTGCGAGAGTGATAAAAGCTTAAACCCCAGTTTATGCGCTATTCCATAAGGGACCGATTGGATCCAAAAGTTTAATGCTATGGTTAGAATTTGTTCTTAATACGTTTCTCCTAGTTGCGGATGCTTGCGGGAGGGTTAATCATAAGTAAGAGGCTTGTTCAAGTAAGAACAACACCTAAGCCGGTCCACCCACATATCAAATTATCAAAGTACCGAACACGAATTAAGCCAACATGATGAAAGTGACTAGATGAAATTCCCGTGTACCCTCAAGAACACTTTGCTTATCATAGGAGACCATTTTGGCCTTCCTTTGCCTCAAAAGAATTGGGCTACCTTGCTGCACTTTTGTTACTACTATCGTTACTTGCTCATTACAAACTATCTTGCTATCAAACTACTCCGCTACTTATAATTTTAGCCCTTGCAGACATTACCTTGTTGAAAAACACTTGTCATTTCCTTCTGCTCCTCGTTGGGTTCAACACTCTTACTTATCGAAAAGGCTACAATTGACCCCATATACTTGTGGGTCATCAAGTCCATTTTCTGGCACCGTTGCCGGGGAGTGAAGTGCTCTTGGTAAGTGGAAATTGGTAAGGAAATGTTCTTACTACGCGGTGAAATTTATTGTCACATGCTACTATGGAAAACAATCCTTTGAGGGGTTTGTTCGGGGTATCTTCACCTTGATCGGAACCACAATTAGTTGCCCCTCAACCTACTGCACCTACTGAAAATATTGAATATGAAATTCCTTTGGGTATGTTAGAACAACTGCTAGCTAATCCTTATGCAGGAGATGGAATCGAACAGCCTGATATGCACTTGATATATGTGGATGAAATTTGTGGATCGTTTAAGCTTGCAGGTTTGCCCGGAGGTGAAGCTAAGAAGAAGGTTTTCCCTTTATCTTTGAAGGGAAAAGCATTGACATGGTATAGGCTATGTGATGATATTGTATCTTGGAACTGGAATCGTTTGAAATTGGAATTTCATCAAAAAAAATTATCCTATGCATCTAGTTCATCGTCATCGGAATTATATATATAATTTTTGTCCCCGTGAAGGAGAAAGTATCGTTCTAGCTTGGGGGAGGCTTAAGTCAATGTTATATTCATGCCCCAATCATGAGCTCTCAAGAGAAATTATTATTCAGAATTTTTATGCTCGGCTTTCTCGTAATGATCAAACCATGCTCGTGTTGGGGAACGTAGCAGAAATTCAAAATTTTCTACGCATCACCAAGATCAATCTATGGAGATTCTAGCAACAAGAGAGGGAGATTATGAGCATCTTCATACCTTTGAAGATCGCTAAGCGGAAGCGTTACAAGAACGTGGATGATGGAGTCGTACTCGCGGCGATTCAAATCGCGGAAGATCCGATCTAGCGCCGAATGGACGGCGCCTCCGCGTTCAACACACGTACAGCCCAGGGACGTCTCCTCCTTCTTGATCCAGCAAGGGGAGAGGATAAGTTGAGGGAGAACTCCGACAGCACGACGGTGTGGTGGTAGTGGAGCTCGTGGTTCTCCAGCGGGGCTTCGCCAAGCACTATGGAGGAGGAGGAGGTGTTGGAGGAGGGAGAGGGCTGCGCCAAGGGAAGGGTGTGGCTTCCCTCCCACCCCCTCACTATATATAGGGGGAAGGGGAAATGGGGCCGACCCCTCTAGAGGGATCTAGAGGAGGGGGCGGCGGCCAGGGGAAACCCTAGATGGGTTTGGGCGCCCCAACCGCCTAGGAAACTTGCCCCCCAAGCTGGGAGGGGCGGCTGCCCTAGGGGTGGCGCCCTCGCCTCTCCAGGTTATGTGAGATGGGGTGGGAGGGGCGCTCAGCCCCTTAGTGGGCTGATGTGCCCCCTCCCCTTGGCCCATAAGGCCCCCCAACGCTTGTCGGGGCCTCCGAAACCCCTTTCGGACACGCTGGTCATCACCTGGTACCCCCGGAACAATTTCGGACTCCAATACCCTTCGTCCAATATACCGATCTTCACCTCTAGACCATTCCGGAGCTCCTCGTCATGTCTGTGATCTCATCCGGGACTCCGAACAACCTTCGGTAACCACATACTATTTCCCATAACAACTCTAGCGTCACCGAACCTTAAGTGTGTAGACCCTACGGGTTCGGGAACCATGCAGACATGACCGAGACACCTCTCCGGCCAATAACCAATAGCGGGATCTGGATACCCATATTGGCTCCCACATGTTCCATGATGATCTCATCGGATGAACCACAA